ATTGATACTTTGGTAACCAAATGCTGAAACTAAAAAAAAAAATTAATAATAATTAATAAAACAATATAAATCAAAACAATATTTACCAGGACTTGATCTTAATGTTTCTTTAATAACTGCATTAAAAAATGGTGTTGATGCACGATCAGATAGTTTTAAGTAGTTTCTATCTCCAGCAACATTTTTTAATTCATTATAAGCTTTTTCTTGAATATCTTTGTTATTGCACATTCTTAAGGTGAACCATTCCATAGTTATTGCAACCTATATATTAAAAGTTAAATTAGTTTATATTTTTATTTAAATAGTAAAAGTTATTTTTAAAATACCTACAGTATCACTACCAGCTAAAAATAAATCAAAACAAACAGAAACAATTGATTCTTTAGTGTCTTTCTTTGTTCCATATTCTTTGATTAAAATATCTAAGAAATCTCTTGGGTTTTCGAAATCAATAGTTGATAAATGGTTATCATACTTTGTTCTTAGGAAATCTTTAATTAGGTTTACATTTTTTTCAGTTAAACTTAAATACCAATAATAAAATGGTGAAAGAATATTAATAAAGTCACCTAAATTACCAGTTGAAAGATCTTTAATAATATTAACAAATAGTGTATTGAATTCTGCAACCTTGCTTTTTGAGATATCTTCATTGTAATCAATATTTTCATCAAATAGATATTTAAACATTGCTATAGTTATAAAAGAACAATTAATAAATTATTAAATATTTAATATATAATAGGGCTATATACTTACTTGCCAAACTATATCTATGTGCATATAAATGAATTTCAAATGGTTCACCTGAGGTAGAGAATTTTTTCATTGATTTTACCAATTCATTTGCTTGATGGCCTAAAAGATCATAAATCTTTTTGGTTGATGACCTTTTCATTGCATTGTTTAAAATATTTCTATTTTTGTGCCATTGTTCAAAATTTGATGTCGATAAACCTCTACCACCTTGAACATGTTTAAAAATTGGTGTTACTGGTCTATTATTACCAATTAAATCTGCATTATCGATACAGATTTGTTTTATCAATGATGGATCTGAAACCACAACTAATATTTGTTTATAAAGCAAATTAGTATCAATTGAATAAAAATATAATAAAATAGTTTAACTTGTATACGTTACCAGTATAAATATCACCGAAGAATAAACGATAGATAGGTCCATACACCTTATGAAAATCTGTTAAAATATGATGTGGTAATTTTCCTAATTGATGTAAATTCCCTAAAATTGGCAAAGCAAAAGGTCCAGATAATTGCTTAGGATGAATTTTTTTGATTTTTTGGTACTATAATTTAATTATTATTTTAATTAATATAAATATTTTTATTTTACAACTATTTTATTTTTTTAATTTATTAATACTTACACATGAATATATAAAATATATTAAAAATAAAGTGAATAATATATTAAAAATATTCATCTTTTATATTTATAATTAGAAAAAATTGATTTTTTTTTTTCTGAAAACTTTTTTTTTTTTTTTTTTCAAAAGATAAAAAATAGGGATTAAAAAAAAATCGTTATCTTCAGTTTTTACCAATTATTGTGAGCGTATTCATTTAAAATTTTAGAAAAAAATATCTCTTTTTTTATTTTAAAAAAAATTGAAAAAAAAAAAATATTTTATATTTTTTTATTTTTACTCCCACCTTTTATTTTTTCCAAAAACTAATTAACAAAAAAGAAAAAGTCCAAACAAATAATCATTTTTCTTTAAATAAAAAAAAACTTTATATATTTTCAAATTTATTTTAACAATAATATTTTGCTCATCATTATCCTTTTTTTATCTTTTTTTTTTATATATTATTTTTATTTTTTTAAAAAAAAAAATTATTTTTTTGGATAAAATTTTCCATGTGATCACGATAAACAATAATGATAATTTTAATAACTTGTTCAAAACATGTTAATTTTCAATATTAAAATTTGAAAAAAATTATGATGTTTTTTTATTTTTTTTTTATTTATGTATATATTTAACACAAAAAAAAAAAAATTTATGATGGGTTTGGGAAAAAAGATGATTGGAAAATGAAGATATTGACAAAAAAAAAAAAAATTAAATACAAGTAAAAAGAAGAAAAAACTTATTTATAATTAAACCAATTAAAAAAATTAGGTTAACGAAGTGTTTGGGTAGTTTTTAAATTGTTTTACAAACATAATATTCACACTATTCAAAAGAACTAATCAAAGATTATGAAAATACAAAATAATCAGTTTGAACCTGAACAAATTGGTGATACTTTCATGAATATTATAAAAAATACAAAATAGATAATAATTTTTTTTTTAAGAGAATGAATATAACAAAAAATAAAAAATTATTAAATATTAAGTTTTCAAAAAAAAACCCAACATTACAAAAAATTAATAACTTCTATTTTTAAATTCAAAAAAAAAAAAAAATATATCAAACATATTGTAAAATTAAATTTTTTAAAAATCTTCAGGTCAAGATATAAAACAGTTAAAACTGATAAATTTTAACCCCATAGTGGTTCTAAAAAAAGATGGCAATGTTAACTGAAGGTATAGAAAGTGTAAATCCTCCAATACCAATAAATTTTAATTTTTTTTTGAGGTGAGTTGGCAAATTACAAATTAAAAGAGGTTATAAAAATATTTGTTTGGAATTAAATTTTTATTATTTTTTTTTCTTTAAAAGGCTGTAAAAAATATTTTTTTAAAAATTAAATTATTATTTCTAATTCATTATTGTTATATTAAATATTTAAAAAAATGGAAAATAGGTTTATGGGAACTACATCTACTGAAGATGATTTAATGGAAGGAACTGGTAGTGTTTTAAGTGGTGCAATTGGATCTATTCCGGTCGTTGGTAGCTTTCTAAGTGGTATTTTTGGTGCATTTTGGCCAGGCCCTAAGTATCTAACTGTTGAAGACTTTGAAAAAGAAATTAAAAAATTAAAAGAACAAATGAGTGCTCTGATGGATGAAAAGATAGAAGCTGCACTTGATAAAGTTTTTAATGCAATTATTGACACTGAAGTTTTAGCTTTATTAAATTCTGGTAATAATTTTTCAGATGCCGTCAATATATGGGCAGAAAGAAATGGTCAAAAAGTATCAAATGTACCAAAAAAAAAAAGTAAATTTGCTATGGAAATTCAAGATTTAGGTGATGAAGCAATTAAAGAGCTATGCAGAACTCAATATCAAATATTCACTGGTGATGCTGAAAGATGTATTATTCTATTATCTGATGATAGATTTAATGAATATTCATTAAATTCCCTTGTTTTTACAATGGCACATTATGTTTCTTCCCAATTGGAATGTATTGCCAATGGTGTCACATGGGGTTTTCCAGAGAGTTTTATTGAAGGGTATGCATAATTTATTTTTATATATAAATAAAGAAATCTATAGTAGTTACTAGTTTTTAAATTACATAAAACCTTTATAGTAATGGAGGAAATATTGTTGGTGTAAAGACAAAACTCCATGAAAAAATCAACAAATTCTATATGGATTCGGGAAAAGCCTATCGAAAAGCAATAAAAAAGGGTGCTCAGACTTCCCATATTGATATTAGAAGGATTGCTTCTGCAGCAGGTTTAGTTCACTATTCAGATAAAAGATTATTTGAATATCCAGTAATCAAATTACAAGATCTATCTCCAGAAATTGTTTTGGAAACATTTAATAAAACATATTATCCCATGATGTTTTATTATCGTAATAAATCCACAACTAAGGATGATGATGTTATAGATCATGTTACATCTCAATGGCAAGTTACAACTTTACCTAATCAATCTCGTGATGAACAAGTACTATTCACCTTTAAATTTAAAACCCCTCCATTTAAAAAATTTAATATAAAACTTCATCTTGCTGCTTTTAACTCCAATGAGTATGTTATCAATTTAAAATATGGAAATGGAACCATTGGATCAATCAAAACCAATTCTGATTTAACCAACAACTGTCCAACTATGGAGGTTATTAGACAAGCTATAGTTAATGGTGGCCAAGTTCCATCTAGTATAAAGTATGGAATTTATTCAAAAACATTTGAAATATCACCCCCTCTTACATCATTAGAATTAAAGATATGCAGTATTCATACCTCAGGCAGCCAATCTGATTGTCTTCACCTTGAGGATTTAAATATTACACTATTGGAATAGATACATCTCCATTTTATCAACTTTTGTTTTATAATTAAAAAATTAATAAATAAATAAATATAATTAAAGAAAAAAGAATAATCTTGAATATTGGAAAAATTTAACAGAGGGCAAATTCATTTTTTTATTAGAAAAATGAATAAAAAATAAAAAATAAAATTTAATTAATTTGATAGGATTTATTTTGCTTGGAATTTAAATAGGGTATTTTTTGATTTTGGATATTTGATATTTCTGAATAAGGTAGAGATTAAAACATAGTTATCTTTAGCTTTTACAAAAACTTTGCATTAATGGATAGAAATCAATTCTATTATATAGCTATGCTTTTACATTCATGTTACAAACTCACATATATTGAAGTAAATTGGGAAACCAGTAAACTACTCCATCTTCGTAATTTAGATTTATTCAGAAAGAATTTTGTTAGGTATCAATCTAAATCCAGTTACAGATGACAATGGTAGATATATATCTTTTAGATTTTCAGTTCTCTTGTTTGTGATTACTTGGCTATTCCGTGATCGTCAGTGGAAATTGAATGAACTTTTTCAAAGGAACGAATATTGTTACCCATAAAAGACTCTACCATTGAGTCATGTCTTCTCAAAAAAATGGAATTGTCAAATTCAAGATGTTGAATTTGATGTTCTTAACAAAAAAAAAAGATGAAAGAGTCCACAACAAAATATTTAAATTGATAGCGGGTAATATCTAATAAATTTGGTGAAAAATGAAAATTTATAAAAATTAAAAAAAAATAAAAAATTTTTGTGAATAAATTGATTTTTTAAAAAAAAAATTTTATTTTTTTTTTTATTTTTCGTTTTTGTTGCATTTTTTTTTTTTAATTTTGATTGAAACCAATTTATATAAATTATATATATTAACAATTATGAAAAGGTTTTATAGCTGTACCAATAATAATAAACCTAAAATATTAGTTTTATCAGGATCAACCGGAGCTGGTAAAAGTAGAGTTGCAATAGAATTAGCAAAACAGATCAAGGGTGAAATTATTTGCGCAGATTCAATTCAAATATATAAAAACCTTTCAGTGGGTAGTAACTCTAACGACACAATCAATCAAAAAGAAGTTCCATTCCACTTATATAATTTTTTAGATATAAACAACTCAAAATTTAATGTATATAATTATTTTCAACATGCTAAAAAAGCAATTAACGAAATTGTCGATAGGGGTAACACCCCAATAATAGTTGGTGGTTGTGGTTTTTATCTAGACTCAATATTAAAAGGATCTAGAGAACCAGAGTTAACACAAAAAGAAAGAGAAGAAATTGATATATTAGAGTCTAAAATTAAAAATTCACAATGGGATTATTAGTAAGTAGTTTTAATTAAAAAAAAAAATGAATGAAAATATATTAATAAAACCATCTAATTTATTTTTATTATTTAAAGTTATGATATTTTAAAAGAAATTGATATTGAATCAGCAAAATGCATTTCAAGAAATAATGTAAAAAGATTAACAATGAGTTTATATTTCAATTTAATAAAAGAAGTTAAATTTTCATCACTCAAAGATCAATTTTCAGATTCAATTAAAGACTCATATGACTTTAGATGTTTTTATTTGACAACTGAAAGATATAAAAGAACCACAATGTTAAATGAAAGATGTGAAGCAATGGTTTATTCAGGTTTATTAGATGAAGTTTTCCACTTATTAATGACTCAAGAAAATTTTATAAATTCCAAAGCTGGAAAATCATTAGGTTATAAAGAAACAATTAAATTACTATTAAATCAATATCCCAACATTAGTACCAATAAAATCAATAAAAATAAAAATAAAAACAAAAGTAATATAGATAACAATGATAACGAATATAATATAGATAATAACAATGATAATGATAATATAGATAATAAAAATGAAATATCAGAAGAATCAATAGTTAACTATATTAAAGATTTTAGATCTGTTACAAGACAATATTCAAAAAGACAAGATACATGGTTTAAAAAAGATGAAATATATCACTGGATGGATATTCAAAATAATAATTTAAATCATTTGTAAGTTTTCTAACTTTTACCATACACAATAATATTCCATTTATACTAACATAATTACCCACTTTTATAGAATTTTAAATAAATTTAATGAAACACCAAATCAATTTAAATTAAATAGAAATATGACCGAAGAAAACAAACTTAAAGCACCAAATTTTGGATTTAATCCTCCAGATCCCCAAATTGAAAGAAATAAAAGATTCCAAGATTTGGTATCCAAAGCTAAAATTTTAAGTTTTAACTATTTTGCAAATAAAACAAATAAAAAATAAAAATATTACAAACAAATAAACAAACAAAATAAATAAATAACTCTTAAAAGATTTGGTATATACATTATTTTAAAATTAATATATCTATCGTATTGATATATTTTAAGATTTATTTCTACAAAATATTTTATTTTTTTTGGGTTTTTTTTTATTTATACAATTCATATATTTGGTATTGGTTTGATGGAGGCAATTTTTTGTTGGTAAGTATTATTTATATATTTAAAAAAATAATTTAAAATTTTCAATATTTGAATTTAATTTGATTCAGTTTTGTTTTCATTATTGGTATTATTGATATTGTTGGTATTATTACTATTATTATTACTATTATTATTTTCAGTATTTGGTTGTTGTTGCTGTTGTTGCTGTAATTTTTGCTGTTGAGCTTGAACCATTAAATCTGAAATTGATTTATCTAATTCGTCAATTCTTGAACCCATTTCATCGACTAAAATAAATATAATAAAATAAAAAGTTATTAATCATCATAGTACTATTATAATCTTTAAATATCTATATATAATTGTTGTTGTTATTTTATTTTATTATATAATGATATTTAATTGTTTTTGATTTAATTATTGATTTGCAATTGTTTATAATCATCTGCATTGATATAATGATTGATAATACTGTGACTATCATTGATTGCTAAATTATATCTATAACATACTTCTAGTTAAAATTGATTTTGAAACAGTTTCGAATCTGCTTTGCTATATATAAAATAATTAATGGTTAATAATAGTCATAATTATGATAGCTCCTATGTTTATTTTATCTTACCATTTGTTCTAATAAAACACCGACAATATTTGAAACATCTTGATTATTATTTTGATTGTTTTCTGGATTACTCATTTTGTTTGGTTTATTTCTTTCAATAAATTAGAAAAGCAATATATTTCGTTTATTAAAATAATTTAAAAAAAAAAAAAAAAATTTTAAAAAAAAATTTTAAAAAAAAATTAAAAAATTAAAAAAAAAAAAAAAAAAAAAAGTAAAAATTAAATTTAAAAAAAAAAAAATTATATATTAGCCAAATTTATATATATATTTAAATATAAATACATTGAAAATATAATATGATTGTTTTTGTCTTTGTTGTTTGTCCGAAATGATAAAATAAAAAAAAAAGAATAGTAAAAGATATTTTTTATTTTATTTTAAAAATTTTATAATTTTTATTTATTTTTTTTTTTTTTTAATTTTTGAAAAATTTTTTTAATTTTTTTTTCATTTCACATATCCAGTCCATTGGTATAATAATAATAATAAAATGATTGTATATATATTAGTATCATTTTTAGCAGCAGTAATAATTCATTTAATTTACAGAAAACAAACTGGATTCCAATTTAAAAATAAACATGTTGTTGTTGTTGGTGGATCACAAGGTATTGGTAAAGAATTAGTATATTTATTATTAAAGGAACAATGCTCAACTGTTTCAGTTATTTCAAGAAATTTAGCAAATTTAAGATCAGTTATTGATGATTGTCCAAATGAAGTAAGTAATGCCAATACACATTTAAAAAATAAAGTACTTTATTAATTTGACTATACTATACTAAAAATAATAAATAATAAACAATAAATAATAAATAATAAATAATAAATAATAAATAATAAAAAATAAAAAATACTAATATAATTTTATATTTTTTTTTTTTTTTTTAGTCATTAAAAAGTAAAATTGAAATTTATTCATGCGATATTACACAAAAAGATAAAGTTAAAGAAACTATTAAATCAATTATTGATAAAGGTACACCAATTGATTGTTTAATAAATTGTGCAGGATTTGCAATTCCAGGTTATTTTATCGAACAAGATGAAGAAATTTTTGAAAGAACTATGAAATTAGATTACTTTGGTTCAGTTTACACCACAAAAGAAATTGTACCACATATGATTGAAAATGGTACAGGTGGTCATATCGTTTTTGTATCATCTACATGTGGTTTAGTTGGTGTTCCAGGTTATAGTACTTATTGTCCAACTAAATTTGCTATTAAAGGTTTTGCAGAAACATTAAGATCCGAATTAAAACCATACAACATTACATTCTCTGTTGTTTATCCACCAGATACCGATACTCCAGGCTACAAACAAGAAAACTTAACCAAACCAGAAGAAACCGTTGCTATTTCAGGTGGTGGCAAAGCAGTTCCAGCCATCGAAGTTGCCAAATGTATTGTCAGTGGTGTTAAAAATGGTGATTATCATATTGCTTATGATTTAGCCACCAAACTTTGTGCCATTTTGTCACCAGGTCTCACTCCATTCTATTACTCTTTCTTTGATATTTTATTAGCTCCAGTTTGTAGACTAGTAGGTGTTATTGCCATGCATCAAAACGATTCAGAAGTTATGAAGGCTTGGAAAAAAAGACAAATCAAATAAAAAAATCAAATAAAAATAAAAACAAATTTTATATATATATGATGTATAATACAAAAAAAAAAAAAAAAAACTATAATTTATAATATTTATAAAAGAAATTCGAATTTTATTATACCTTTTTATTTTATTTTATATTATCTATATTATCTATTATATTATTATTAACTATAGTTGTTGTGCTTGATTGTCTAAGTTTTTGTGATTCTTTATTGGATTCAAAAAAACTCTGTTCTGATTTTAATGGAGACTGAGATATATAACCAAGCTTTAAATTGAATCTATCATTAATTTCATCTAAAATAGTTTTATAGCAAAAAATATATTGTTCCAATTGTTGAACCATACCAGGACGTTGTTCTCTAAGTTTTAAAACTACATGGAATAAATTAAAATCAATTAAATTGCCATCTTTATCTTTAATTGCATATTTTGGATCTTGATTTGGGTCATCGTAATCATCTTGACTATTTGAATTTGAAAGGCTATTTTGTTGATGTTGTGCTTGTTGATTCATACTGTTAATGGTTTGTGCATATATTAAATTTTTTAAAGTTGATGAAAGATTTCTCAAATCTAATGTATCTTTTTGATAATCTTGATTTTGGGTGAATGGATGAACAACTTGATCAATTGGTAAAGATTCAAGTGTATTAAAATAATGATCCAACTTTTTCATCATTATTACCGCTGTACAAAAAGTACCAGTTCTTCCAACACCAGCACTACAATGAACTACAATTGGACAATTCTTATCTGAAGCTGGTTTAATACGGTTTTGACGTTCATTGATGAGATGGAGTAGATCTCTAAATGGTTGTGTTTGATCTGGAATATTATGATCTGGCCAACCTTCATATTGAAATTGGGATACATAACGTACCTCACCGTCAAGAGTATTTGTAAGTTTTAAATTTCTAATGGTAATTTCTCTTTCACTATCATAAAGACTATCAACTAACTCTACATTAAATTTACCAACATGATGTTCAATTGTTTGATGACTATAAATTTCATTTCCTTTTTCTGGCCAATATCTGTCACATTTAATTCTACAATTTTCTGCTTCTTTTGATAACATAACAATTATACTACATCTATATTCCCAAATCATTCTCCAAAAATCAACAAAAGTATTTGGTAATGGTCCTTGAGTGCAAATAAATTGTTTTTCATAATTACCCTGAAAAAAAAAAAAAAATTTAGTTAGTTTAAGTTTTTTAATTGATGTTTTAGTATATATTTCTCTATTATTAGAAATATTATAATATCTACATCAATAAAGTTTGCATTAATATAATCTGAACCTTCTTTTTCTGGTACTTTTTTAAGTACAACTCTTGTGCTGTTAACTGGAAGAATATTTGTATATCTATTTTTCACTGTATTGTGTTTTTTATCACCTTCACTTGTTTCACATGGTAATGCTGTTTCATCCAATAACTATAAGAGATAATAAAAAAGTTAGTATATAATAAAAAATTGAAATTTTAAATTAAAAAAAATATTTACTCTAAATTCTTCTCTTAATAATAAAATATCATCCATATGATTTTTTAAATTATAAACTGGTGCCTTAATTCTCTCTTCGTCCTCTAAGAAATCTCTATTATTATAATATGGTGACGAGGAACCCGAATTTGTTGGTAATGATCCTAATGAACTCATTCTGCTAAATGATCCTTGTGATGAGCTTAATGAAATTGAACTGCTACTTCTTGTGGCTAATGGTCTAGGAATTCCTCCACTAATATTAATGTTATTTTTTTCTGAATTACCAATTTGATTTGTGCTTTCAACTGATCCCATTATATCACTATTTTTTTTACTATTAATATTTAATGCTGTTTTTATATCTGTTTTTATTATTTTTTCTTTGGCTCTATTAAATAATTTATTCTTGTTAATAATTTTATAATTTGTATAAAAACGACTATGTTTGTTTTTGATGATGTCAAATGTAGTGTGGCTGGTTGTTTTGGTATTTGTGGTTGTTATTAATGAACAACGATATAAATTTGATTTATTAAAAACAATAATTTTTGATTTATTATTAAAATTTATATATTCACTATTTTAAAATATATATCTAAGAAAAAATAATAATATAAAAATTTAAATAAAAATATTAAATAATTTAAAAAAATTAAAAAAAAAAATTAAAAAAAAAAATTAAAAAAAATTAAAAAAAAATTAAAAATAAAAATAAAAATAAAAATAAAAATAAAAATAAAATAAAAAAAAAATAAAATAAAAATGGTGTTGTGTGGATAATTGGTGTGTGTGTGTGTTTTTTTTGTATATATATGTATATATTTTTTTTAAATATAACAATATAAAATTATTTAATTATTTTTAATTTAATTTTAATATAAATAAATTTTGTTTAATTAATTAAAAAATAAAATAAAAATAGATAAAAAATATAAATAAATAAATAAAAAAAATAAAAAAAAAAGGAAACTATTTTTTTATTAAAAAATAAAATTAATATAAAAATATTACATTATTTTTTGAATTTTTTTTTTTTTGGATATTATTTTTTTTTTTTTTAGAATGTACTTTTGCATTTATGAGCCGCACAAAATCAATAACGGTGTGCATGTGTGGGTGATTAAAATGTGATTTTGTGATTGATTTTTGGAATTTGTTGATATTTTAAAAAATAAAAAAAAGATATAAAAAAT